GAAAAAAGGGGTCATAAGGTCATAAAAAAAACTGACACATACGAACGCTAAACCCTTTGAGGGTTTACCATCACTCTGACTTGGAATTTCTCACCCCCCAGACAATAATTCCAAAAATGTTCCACAGTGTAATAAAGGGGTAGGTTTACATAACTTAATGAACAATCGGCGATTTATTTTGTATGTCATAGCTGATCTTAATGAGAAAAGCAAGAGTTTTATGTTTAAAATTATCTCAGATCCAGAAAATAAAATTTTTTGCTATAGAGGATCCAAAATATCCAAAAATATTGATCGAAGGACTAGTTAAGATTTTCATTTTTGACAAAGTGCAATTTCCCAAAAGACGTAATTTTTACTGAGAAAAATTTCACTTCAGAGTGGCTTAAAAATCGAAATTAACTGGTGAATATATCTCAAAAGGTGATGTAAAATATTCACCTCAGCTAATTCAAAGACAATTTTCTCACCGAATCTGAAACCAGTGCTTCGAGAAAATCGTGTTTACACTAAGTGAAAAAATTCCAACAAACAACGAATCATATCTCAGAAATTATTAAACGATAAATTTCAAATTTTCAGAAAATATATTTTCAAAACTTCAAAAACAAAAAATTGACTTAGTGAAATTTACATGTGAATAACTTCCTATTGCCTTTAAAACATAGACAGCGCCACCTGTATAAGATCAGATGAAATTTCAAAGCTAGTTTGGCAGCACTTCCAAATTTGTCATTCCTTTATATTAAGTTACTATAATTTCCATATATTTGCAGAAGTTATGCTAAAATTACTTCCTGAAACAAAGTTTAGTAAGAAAATGAACTTGTAGTGTATAAAACAAAATTTCTAAAAGTTCCTATATATGTCACATATATTTCAAAGCAACAAATTAAGAGAAGAAAGCTTTATTTACACGAAAAAAAGTTTAGAGTATAACTGAATATACTTTTCCATTAAAAATTTACAGTATAAACATTAACATCCGTTCGCTTTAAAACCACTAATTTAAACAACTTCCGCCTGAAATTTTAAATTTTGTTACATTACAGCGCCACCTATCGCCTCAACATCTCTTTGTTTTGCGAAAGTGTCTGGAAATACCGCAGCTAAACAGCTGACTTAAGAGAATTCTTTTTGAATTTTTGCACATCTCGCCGCAATAATGACAAACAATTTTGTATGGATGTATGTACATATATACAACTGTTGAAATTTAGATTATTTAAAATAATGCGAAGGAGAATAGAAAACAAGCATTATTAAACAGTTTGTTCACATAAAAATTAGCTAAACCTAACAACAGCACTTTACAAGGAATATGCATTATAGGAATGGGTGAATGCTTAGAACTTGGTTATAATAAATGCTACATTATTTATAATTTCGTATACTTCTTCATAGATCAACAACATCTAAATACTACATGAAGTCATTTAACGAATGTGAAGAAGGCATTTACACCTGCAGAAGACGAAGCTCACGTGTGGACTGTGTGAAGCTGATAAAGCAGTTAATGATATTTCAATGGATAGTAAATGTTATGGATGAAATTCATTTTAAAATAGCTTTATACAAACAATTAAAGTATATAAGATTGTAGTTGTAAATTGTAAATAATGTAACCCTTTTAGATTGCTAAATTCTGCTATTTTTTGTCATTGAGAAGGAATATTAGGAAGGGTACTGCATATATAATGAATCGTTGAGTACTTTAAATGAATAATTTACACAAACGCCATCTGGCTTATATATAATATGTAATTATAAACAGATCCCGTCAAGCAGCAATGATAGATTTCTTTTGCATCGCGAAAACACCTGCCACATTATGGCCCATACATAGATACATATGTATATGGTTTTGCAAGTGCGTATATGTACATATGTATGTATGTCCATATTTCAAACTTGTAAAGAATTATAGCAAACTGCTCTGGTAGACACATCTACAGCTGTCTCTTATACACATCTAGATGTGTATAAGAGACAGCATATGTATATGGTTTTGCAAGTGCGTATATGTACATATGTATGTATGTCCATATTTCAAACTTGTAAAGAATTATAGCAAACTGCTCTGGTAGACACATCTACAGTAGCGGCTTAATTTACCCATCATTGCTGCCGGAAGAAATTACTTTACAAAAATTTATTTTTTAACTGTGTATAAAGCAACGTGCATTGAAAAATTATTTATAATACTGCATACGAAAAATTAATTGAAAAGTCCCACTCACCTTTTGTGTGCGCACCACCAAACTGGAAACGGCTAAAAGCTGCAGCGTTTGGTTGCAATATTCTTGCAGACGGAAGACCGGTACCGGAACAAGTTGAACGTATAACGACGTGATTCTATTACTAAAACGCACATACTTGAATAAGCAAAAGATATCCAGATCCCGTCAAGCAGCAGTGATAGACTTCATTTACAATTGGCTTTCCTGTATGATGGAGACATCTACAGTAGCAACATAATTTACCCATCTCAGTTTTTTTTTTCAAACTGTGTATAAGACAACATGCAGAGAAAAATCTTTCTAATAATCATTGTATGCGAAATGTTAATTTAAAAATCCCACTCACCTTGCGTTTGCATAAATTGGAAACGCCTTAAAGCATTAGTATTTAATGTACAATATTATTGCAAATGGAGAACCGACCGTGTTGAGCGTATAACCGACGCGATTCTATTACTATAATGCACACAATTGCAAAACCGATGATATGCAATTTTTAAAACGCACAGAAAACTAATTGCACACTTTACACATTCAATATTATACACCAGACACATACAAAAACACTTAAACTACATTAATTAACACTTTAAACTATGAAAACTTTACTATAAAATACTTTTTTCACTAAAATAATTCACTTTATTAACACAAGCAGCCGAACGCCTTAAAACCCGCAATTACACTAAAAACATCCGCCAAAAATTTGACAATTGTTGTTACTGTGCAGTGACACCTAGCGTAACAAGTCTAAACATGCATTTGTCATGTAACAGTAGGTAACAATAGCGCAGTTGAACAGCTGATTATCTTGGGCAGCTGTAATTTGATTCAAAATTTGCAAACTGCACAAAAATTGTAATTAAATTTATTAAGCGAATAAAACTTATTGTTCTGACTTTTTGTTCAGAGAAAACGTAGTAGCAACAGTTTTTATAAGCCGGCAATAAATAACAAAGATGTCTAAAGACAATAGCAGCATGTCGCACAACTCCAGTAATATGTCACTAGAGGATTGGGTAAGCGGCCACTGATTTGTACATGGAACATTGTTTTTTATTTATTTCTTCACAGACGGATCACATCAACACACGTCTGGATGTAATCTATAAAGACCTCTGCGACTTTGAACAAAGCGTTACTGCACAAAACGAAACTAACGATACGGGTGAAGTAAAGCTGATGGAGCTGCTTGAGGCAGTTAATGAGATACAGCGCACCGCCCGCAGTATACGCCCTATAACGGGCACATTGAAGGATAAGCAAGCGCACATGCGTGAACAAATGGAGATGCTGCAACGGTCAGTAGAGCTAATGGAATTGGAGAATAGAACGCGTGCAGTGGACATTATGGAAGAGCCGATGGAGTGACGGCGGTGTTGCCATAAACAACAGTTATATTAACAGCGATTATCTACATCAACATAAATACATACATACAACCGAATACATACAATATTAAGAGGAATTTATAGTTGCAGTTGCAGTTTAATTTTCAATACTTTTGTAAGAATTTAACGTAGTATTATTAATTTAACTTGGAAATAGTTGTAAGTATGCACGTATTTTTATGGAATAAGTATAAAAGATGGCGCATGGCTGAAATTAATAGTTTAAAGGTTTGGTAATTCGATGTTATTTGTTATTGGAAAATCGTAAATCAGTAAATTGTTTTCTGACTGACGGAGCTTAGTTCGTGCGTTTAACTTACAATTTAAATTATTTTCCGAATTTATGTTTATTGTTATAATTAATTTATTTTTTTGTAATATTGAAAAATTAAATGGTTTTGTAAAAAAAAAAAATTTTTTGTAATTTTGCAAAAATTCCTTTTTTTTTTGTACTTTTGCTAAATTCGATTTTTTAGTTTTTTTAATGTCAATAATTTATTTTTTAGTCAACTTCAATTATGCTCAATTATTATTTTTAATTAATGGCAATTTAACTATGAATAAAGGTATTTTTCAATTTTATAAATTTTTAAATATTCTTTTAATATATTTTTATTGAATTTTATTATTTTGCTAGTGCTACATAAATACGCAGCAACAATTTTGCTTGCTTTGCCATGCAATAACTGTTACTTAACAAGATTGTTGCTTTGCAGCAGACATTTTGCATATTGTTTTATAAATAAACATACACTTATAAGTACATACATTTATATTTCGTTAATTATTTTATATAAATATATAATAAAATTCGTATATTCATTAATAAATATTGGAGAATTTTTCCAATTTTTAACTTCCAAAAATGAGGAACTGAAGGAAATAAGATTGATAAAAAATAAATAAATAGTAATATTAAATTACTTAAAAAAATACATATAAATTAAGAATTTATAAAAAAAAAATATTAAACGAATTAAAAAAAAATTAAACGACTAAAAATATTAAAAACAAAAGGTTAAAACATGTAACAATATACATATGTACATACATAGGTATGTACAAATGTCCATATAAAAAATTTACAAAAAATAATAATAAAAATTAATAAGTATAATAAATATATGTACATACATAAATACTAAAAATGTTTAAAAAAAATTTTAAAAATATAAGAAAAATTTAAAAAACTAAAATTTTAAGTAAAAATAAATAAATAAAAATAAATAAATAAAAATAAATTAATAAAAATAAATTAATAAAAATTTAATAAATAAAAAAATATAAAAACCAAAATTAAAAAAAATTATATAAACAAATTAAAAATACAAAACAACAAAAAAGGAAATAAAAAATACACGAAGTATACATTTTTCGAAGGTAAAACATATAAATAATTAAAAAGAGGATAAAAAATAGTATAATAATATTTCTATAACTGCTTAGATTTAAAACTAGAGTTTTCAAAAAAATACACGGTTTAACTTTAAAATTTTTTGTATCACATTATGGAACATTATTTTAAGATAAACAAATTTAGATATCTCAAAAATGCATTTCTTTTTTTAATTGTAAGTGCATAAACGTACTTGCACACAGTGAGCGGGAGGGGACGTAAATAATGATGAATACTATTATTAGAAGCAATTTGGCCACCGATTTCGTATCCTAGATTTTGGTTTGCTTTTTTGCATAACTAGCTATCGCCTGCATTTACACCAAATAGCGGCGCTAATGTGCATTAAGTGCAAAACGTTGCATGAAATGTATAAAAAAAATTAGACATTTACGGCTTTACTTGCTAATGTGTGCTATTTTCATACTTGTCGCTGTTGTTAGTACATTTTTGTCGTTGGCCAACAACGCCCATTACTCCTGCGCGCATTCACACTCACATTCACACGCGCACTCACAGTCATCACACACAGCACTAGCACTACCATTTGCGCTGTCCAGCCCCTCCGCCATACCGCCGCCACATCCACCGACTATTTGCAGCCAAGCCAAAAGCAGCTGCAATGCCGGCCATAGCAGTACCAAATTTCAGATATCAGTATTGAGACTGATGCGTGTCAGAAACTCGCCTTGCGAATCGGCTACCGCGCGTATAATCTCCAGGAGCAGTTCACGTGACAGGGCGCCGATCTTCGGCAAACGCGCCACTTTCGTAAAATCCTTCACTATTAAACGCAAGGCGTAATCTTTGATATCGTAAATTTTCGTTATGTCCGAGGCTTCCAACGTTTGCAGGACATTCTCATACGTTATATTATGCTCGAGCGAATATTTACAGAAGGCGGCTAAACGATTGTTGGACAAGCCGTAAAAGCAGGGCGCTTGAAACAGATACAAAGCATCCTGTGGTGGCATTTTCGTTTCGCCATAGTAAATGTAGCGCAGCAGCGACTGGAAAGCTTCTTGTGAGGGTGAAATTTCACCGATTTGTATCTAATGGACAGAAAGAAGATAGCGAGTGGTGGAAAGTTAACTGTAAAACACTGTATACTTACGTTCACTGCATTATCGGGTGGCATAAATGAACGAAACATGCCTTGGAAGTAGGTGCAGCGTGCGGAGAGTATGGACTTGTGCGCGGGTACGGCTTGGCCATCGAGTATGAGATTTATATCGCAAAATTCTTTGCCGGTGGACTCCAGAAAGACCGCCATGTCGCTCTCCAGTGTGGTGCCTAAGCAGAGAGATTAAAATTTAATATATTTTTGTAATCAAATTAAAAAAAAGTAATATTGATATTACCTTCGCTCTTTTCAAAATTATTTTCCATAACAATTTTACCCGGATTTAGGCGCCTGCGCACAATTTCCACAATCAGCGCTTTGTCTAGATCGCCGAATTCGCTCGACAGCACGACGTCTGCGTAATTTTCATGCTTTATTATGAATTGCATGCAGTGATCCTTGATGATTTGTATTCTACAACACATAATTTGAGGTTATGTGTAAGTCAAAATAAAAAATATAATGTAACTAAACCCACTTGTTCTTGTCCGCATTGTACAACGCCTCCAGCACATTCTGTTTGTTGATTTTGAAATCCAAGTACTGTATACAACCTTGCGCCAAGCGCGGCATTAGAAATCTGCCCGCCAACTGGTATATATCGGTTATCAAAATTATTATATTTTTGCTATACGACTCCTTCAGATCGATTCTATCCGTATATATGTAGTTCAGGATGATTTCGAAGGCCTCCGGTGACGCTTGCGCCAAACGCACTTCCAGCATGGGCGCGCGATCTGCGCCGCCGCTACCCACCAAAGCGCTACGTATATCCATGGCTGGTCCGAACACCTTTTCCATCTGCTGTTGACGCGCCTCGCGCGCTGCTAAGATTTTCGTGCGCAAATGTTTCGAACGCGCCGCCACAAAAGCGATATGCGCTAATATTTTAATCTCCTCAGCACCAACTATAAATTGTATATCGCAGAATTGTTTATCATGAAAGAATTTGCCGTAATCGTCGCGTAGAGTACACTTGGGATAGCTGGAGAATTGAAAGCGATATGTATCGCCGCGACGCACGCTATTATCAACAGTGCCCCCGAAAATGTACATAGCATCGCCGATAACAGCGCTTGCATGGAATACACGACCCGAAGGCATATCCGAGTTTGGCTCGGGCGTTATTACCGACCACACTTGCGAGTCCAAGTCGTAACAGTGCAGATCGTTGGGCAAGGTGGAGTCCGCCGAGCCGCCGAAAACATATAAAAAGCGATCGTGATGCACCATAGTGTGCCCGTAACGCCGTGAAGGTGGTGCTGAAGCGGCGCCACGTAGCACGGATTCGTTGGAGATGCGACGCCAGCTGGGGGAGAGGTATAGTGAATAAATTTATAGTTATATACATACAAATTTACATACGTTTTGGTTTTAAAGTGGAATTCGAAGAGCGAGTTGGTAATCTGCAGACCACTTTGGCCGGAGAAGACATACATGCAGTCGCGCGCAACGGCGACGGGAAAATTACAGCAAGTAGGTGGACGTTCACCCTTTTGCTCCACCTCCTCCCATTGATGGTTTTCGCCCTGCATAAAAAATATAATTATTTATTAATACGTTGTATTTAATTTACTAATAAAACTCACCAATAAATTGAGCGTCCACATGTCATTCAGACGCGCATTACCGTCATAACCAGCATATATCCACATCTTATTATCGTAGACAGCAGCGCCATGCGCAGAGCGTGGCACTGGCACACTAAAATCAAGCAAAACAATAAAGAAAAAAATATTTCACACTGCATTTTTTGCTTTTGTTTTTGGTACGTACCGTCCTGTGAATTTCCACTCCACCCACATGGCCGTCTGAAATTTATACTCGAACAAATCATTTTTATTCGTTAAATTCGAGTTCGAATGTATATCCCCGGTGTAGCCGCCAAAGATGAACATTGAACTGCCATAGACCACGGCGGAGTGGTGATAACGCGGCGCCGGCGCCACGCCGGTAGCACAAGCACGTCCCCACGATTTGTCTTTCACACCAAAACGTATCAAGTCGTTGAGCATCGTTTTGCCATTGTCACCGCCGAACACAAACATTGCATCCTTATACGCCACAACGGTGTGTTTGCTACGCCTGCAATAACAAAGAAATAAGTAAACACGCATAATAAAGATTGTAGACTTAACACTTACTTTGCGCCCACAAACTCAGCGCACTCGAGCATTTTCGACCACTGATGTGTGGCTGTGTAGGAACTAAAGTCCACATTCAATGCGTTCAAGCTATAACTGCCCGGTGATATTGACTTGCAGCTACCGACATCGTACATGCAGACTGCCCCACTACTGCGACAGCTGCTGCCGCTACTGCCACGCATTGAACTGGAATTGGAATGCGACATTTTGCTGCGCGATGAAAAACTTTTGCGACTCTTACGACTGCCCGTGTTGCTATGACACTTCTCCAGACCTGCCAGACAGACGTTGCAGTAACCACTGGAGGAGAGACTGCAGACAAAGCCGCTATTAGCACCACCTACACTGACACCACAAGTCGTTTGATTGCAATTGCCAGCCGTGCCAATGACACTGCCACATGCAGCGCTCAAGCTGCTTGAAATAGAACTCGATGCTAGACTGACGCTACCCCCACCACCGCCGCCTCCGCCGCCGCCACCTGCAACACCACCACTACCTCCGCCACTGCTGCCGCTACCGCTACCGCTGCCGTTGCCACCGCTGCCACCGCCTCCGTCTTCGGTTGAATCTGTAGACTCTGAGCCGAGCAAAGCCTTCAGCATTAACGAGTTACAGGTGTAGAATCGCTTTCGTTGGCTTATTTTGATAGCTTTTTAGGCACTTGAACAGAGTGAAAAAGTATCAAGCGTGTAAACT